GCATCATTCTAAAAAGCTTTAATTAAAGTAAATGTAAGGTTAAACTAGACCTAACGGTATACTAGGGGTTACTTCGCTGCTAAAGTCACAGTTAGCTTTGAAGACAAGTGAAATGACACGCACACTGCTTAAAAAGTCACTTACTAATCGCAAAAAGTGCTTAAAGTGCCGCTTACTAAGCATACCACCCTTCATGTATTAATTAAGCGACACTTTAAGCTTTTTCAGTTTCTGAATTTACCCTCTGCCCTTACCTTATTGTTACCCCTCTACCCGCAACCCCACGTACCCACCCTGTCCTACCCTACTACTCCGACCCCACTACCTCTATCTTCATACCTTACCCCTTACTCCTACCCTACTCGACCATTACCCCACCCCCACCGCGTACCCCTTTTCCCTACAACGACCCCCCACCCCTACCACATGGCCCCCACCTCGGCCCCACCCCGGTCCATACTCACCCTACCCCTACCCCTACCTCGGCCCCACACGAACCCGACCCCACCCTACTGCGGGGCCTTTACCACCCCTACCCTACCCCTAACCCCCTACCCCTTCCCCTACCCCTACCACATTGGCCCACCCTCCTACCCTACTCCTACCCCTACACTACCCTACGTATCTCACCCCGACCCCACCCCTTACCACTACCCTACCCATGGGCCCTTACCACCCTACCCCCTACCACATCGGCCCCACCCCCGACCCCACTACCCCCCTACCCTACCCCTACCTTACCCCGACCCCACCCCATCCACTACTTACCCCTATGTCGCCCTTACCACCCAACCTTAACCCCCTACCACATCGGCCCCATCTTGACCCTACGTACCCCTAGGCCCTTACCGTACCCCAACCCCCTACCCCCTACCACATCGGCCCCACCCTGGGGGTAGGATGGCGGTAGGGGTGGGGTCGGGATCGGGGTGAGGTTGATGGCATGTGGTAGGGGTTGGGTGAGGGAGTGGGGCCGATGTAGGGGCAAGTGTGTGGGGAGTGGGGCAGGGTCGTGGTTAGGAATGAGGGTGGGGATTGTGGGTAGGGTGGGGTCGGGGGTAAGGTAGGGTAGGTTAGGGCTGGGGTATGATTGGGGTAAGGTAGGGTAGGGGGTAGCTAGGGTGGGTCGGGTAAGGTAGGGTAGGGGTAAGAGTGGGGTAGGACAGGGTTAGGGGTGGGGGTAAAGCGGGGTATAGGGGCGGGGTAGCGGCTAAGGAGTATATTATATTACATACTTGTGTTCATGAATGTTTGTGTGTCTATATATGTATAGGGTTATTTTAGACATTTTAATGTTGAACGATGTTTTAAACTCTTTGAAGCAAACACGACCTTACAACATTGCTTATTTTATGTGTCGCTTATTAACGCAGGTCTTGATAAGCACCGTTTAGTAACCCGTGAAGTAAAAGTGTCCTTATTCTTATATTAGTATACATATCATGGATAATTGGATTAGATCCATTGATGATGACTTAATAAGTCTCTTAGTAGTAGTAGTAGACTCATTCTTATATTTTTTATACTCGATTTTCAATTCTTTCATTTTAGTTTTCGACTATTGTGTGAGACACTTTTGCATATTTTGTCTTCAAAGTTTTCCATATTTTGTCCCTTGAGTAGTACTAGTATCAATTTACTATCAAATTGTCACTTCTAGTTCTTCTACTATGAATATGACACAATAAGTGAATGACTACAAATGTAACTATAATAATAGTTGGAGGACAAAAAAAACTCACTTTTATGAAAGTTGGTGAACTAAATGTGGAAAATTTCAAAGAAGGATACCAAAAGTGTCTTTTGCACGATAATCGAAGAATTAAAAGTAGAAAAAAACAAAGTCGAGTACCAAAAGTGTTTGTGACATAATAGTCAGGGGACTAAAAGTGACCAAACTCTATTTATATTTATTTATTTGTTTGTTATGCTGGGTTATTTGTAGGCATTGTTGGTACATGTAGACATGTTGTTTACCTATTGCAAGACTTTACAAAAAACTATTACAAGACTTCAATCAATGCTTTCTGCCTTGTTAAAAGCAAGAAAATGCAGTCGGTTGCTCATCTTTTGAACCCTTGACATGACTTGCAATTTTGCCTTTTCCTTTCGAGGAAGGGGCAAGGGTGTGGTCTCTTACACACATGTGTCCCATTTTTTTATCTCACAATTTTTATGTCTAGGACCCACGTATTTCCTAATTTATTTTCATTTTCATTTTTTTATATCACTTTTAACCCACTTTTCATCAACTTTTCTTCCTCGAATCCTGTGTAAGGTTCATTTATGGACCTTGTCATGCACCTAGATCCATTTTTATCTATATTTCTCTCCTCTTTTTCATTTTTCCCTACACACCACTTTATTCAAATATTCATTCTATTTCTATCTCTCTCATATGCCACATCACTACAATGCTACCCTCTCATCGGAGATGCTCTTTTATGCTTTGTAATGAAACTATATTAGTTATTGTAACTAGGATTGCTTTAAATGTAATCTCGAGTATTTCAATTTTAATATAAGTTGTTTATTTTCGATCAAAAAGAAATTATCAAGCTATTGAAAAAACACATGGACCAATAAGAGCAACTCCAATGTTCTTGGTGCATTGCAGGTGAAGTGACAAAAAACTAATCTGGGTCTATTTGGGAAAGTTGGTCCACTATTCACAAAAAGGATGGTCCATTGAATGAGACCTCCAATACGCAACAATGAAGTCAAATACAAAACAAAAAGCAAATATTGGAAACTAAAGAGAAAAGCAAAATGTATGGCATCACATAGATAGGCCCACTCTTGATTGTCAGAAGGTTGCACCGAAGGTCCATTTATGGACCTTGTGATGGACTTTGTTCCATTTTGTTAATTGTCACACAAGCTTCACCATGTCCATTTCTCTTTACATTGGAGTAGATAATTGTTTTCATGGTGTGCATTTAATGAGGTGGAACAACAATGGACCTCTCCATTGGAGTTGCTCTAAGAGTAATAAATGTACTTTAAAAGTGTTTAATTTTAACCGTCCGTATGACTTTCATCTTTTTGATTGGATTGGAAAAGAAAAAGAAAAAGAGAAATATAGAAGAAGAAAATGCCAAAAAAAAATGATTGACATGCAATTCCAAGTGTTCAGGACTTCAAGTAAATTGTTTGATCGAGTTTCTTTAACGATTATTCTACCGATGAGATACATTTACAATCACTGCATCTATTAGTGATCGTGATTGTATAATAGTAAACCATAAAAGATATAAATTTAGGTATTTATTAAAAGTGCTCGCAAATAGTATATGAGAATATGGGGTTCAATCTTTAAATATATAAATCCTCTGAATCTTCACTTGCAATTCGAAATAAATATAATTACAGAATTTAACTCAAAACTAAATCCATGCAGTACTTTGTGGTCTGATAGCATCCCTGTGACACTCCCAAGAAAAAGGTCATACGTTCCAATTTCATCTCAGTTTAAGAATGTTTGCTTTTCGAACGGTTTGATTTAAATTTTGAGATTTAAATTTCATCTCAATTTAAGAACCTTGGGTTCTTAGTATTTTGATTTCTTATATTTCCCTCATTACTACTTAGTAATATAAATATATACTCCATGGTAATTATTTTTAAAGAATCTTTTCTCATATACTTTTTTACAATGCCCCGCGGGCCAACCCGTTTACCCACGGGTTAAGTGGTTTCGGTTTGGCCCATCTCATAGAAATTTTGACTCATCTCTAAATGGCTTGGCCCGACCCAATTCACATAAAGCATAACCCGTTACGGGTTAGGTCGGGTTGGGTTGGCCCGCTTGACAGCTCTATCATTTACATTTACTACATACTATGATACTATCGTGTTTGTTTACTACGTACCATATTATCGTGTAATGTTTTGAAAAAAACGTGTCTTCACTCTTAATCCTAATTAGAGGAAAGTGTCAATTGAGTACACCAACTTGTATGAAGTGGAGTAAAAAGTACATTACAATGCATTTGATCTTTTTAAGTACAGAAATTCGAGATTTTAGTGTCAATTGAGTACACTTGTTAGTTTTAAACAATAATACAGCTGAATTGGCTAACAGAATGTTGAGTAAGAAGAGTTAATGGACCAAGATTATGACGTCGACCTTCACGAAGTTGACCAGAAAGGGAAAATAGACATTCGGAGGTTGACCTGCGGGGGGTGTCGGCCAGCGGGGGTGCATCGACCAAGGAGAAGTCGACCTGCGAGGGACTGACATCGACCAAGGGAAAATCGATTAAGTGGTTGGGGGCTAGCGTCGAGCTTCAAGAAGTCGACTTATTAGCATTCTGTAAGCCAACTCAGCCATATCAGTGTGTTAATCTAACGGGTATATTCAATTAACAACAAAACTTGAATTTGTGTAGTTAAAAAATCAAATACAATATAGTATGCTCTTTACTCCCCTTCATACAAGTTAATGTACTCAATTCACTCTTATATCATCCTAATTATTAGATTGATTTTGCAATATTGCATAAACTCATAAAGTATACAATCTTAAATTAAAATAATTATAAAAGCAACGATTTTGACACGGTTCTATGCCAAGTAGGTTGCAAAGTCGCGATAAATTGTTTTTTTACACAACCCCGCCAAATTCACTCCAAAATCCTGCCGAATCGGTTGTGTTTTAGTTGGGATACTTTATAATGTCTGTTTCCAACAACTTCTGCTTTAAAAAATGTCTTTTTTAATGAAATGTGGAGAAGTGATTAAATAAAAGTTGGTCGTGTTTGAGAAATAAGTGATTTTGAAAAGTAAAAGTTGGTAGTGTTTGATAAAATAAGTGTTTTTGTGTAATAGAAAAGGTAAAAACACTTTTGACACGAAAACCGAGAAAAATAAAAGTTGACAGTGTTTAGTACAATAAGGGAAAGGGAAAGTTCCCGAAATAGGACTAAAAAAGTTTGCAAATTCCAAAATAGGACTGTCATGTTTTTATTCCCAAAATAAGAGTAATTATTGTAAAGTTTGGAAAATACTTTCATGTTTGAAGTCTGGTACTGCCAAAACATGGCAATAATTAGTCTTATTTTGGGAAGAAAAACATGGAAGTCCTATTTTGGAATTTTCAAAAACTTTTTTAGTCCTATTTCTGGTAATATTCTCTTTTCTAAAATAAATGGTTTTTTAAACCAAAAAGCTAAGAAATCCTTTTTTTAAAGCATTTGGAAACCAACTCTAAACTATTTTAACTAAACAATCCCTTCGGTTTAGACTTTTTTTTTTTTTTTGAATAAAGTTTAGACTTTTTTATATGGAGTGTTTTGGTTAGCTCAATCTTTGCAGGTGACCAATTGTGCCCATCCAAAAAACGGGAGACCAAAGACTTCGCCAGGGGAAAAGGAAAAAATATTCAAATGTTTCTTACGCCTTAATCATCACGTTGAAGTTTTTGGTATAAATTTGCGTAAATACTACTCCGTATGCTATTTATGTCATTGAAATTTGCGTAAATTTTTTCTATCACCAAATAAAAATGTTCTATTTTTTCTTTCTTTGAAAGACTCTGCTACGAGTTTATTTTTCCGTAGGGAAAAACTGCCTCCAGCTTCACATAATTTCAATTAACCAATTCAGTATTTTGATTAATAAAATTGATATTTGAAAAAAAAAATGATGAATAAACCAAAAAGTGAGCTAACAACAAATATGGAATTTGCATAAAGTAAGATGTCAAAGTCATATACGAGTAAGATTTGGGACAATGTTATCTTTTCACTATCATTAATCTGCTTTTGCTTGCCTTTTAGCTGTCCATAGGAGTTTGACTAATATGCCCATTTCTATGAAACTGAACTATGAGAAACCCAGCACTATTTCTTAAGTTCTCCAGTTTTTATGCCACTTTTATGGTCTTGGACATCGTGATTTTCCCCACTAATCCTGATTAGTCCCTGCTTGTTTGTCAGGCCACAATTTGCTGTCCAGAAAGATGCAAATATACCCTGAAGCCAAACAAATTTCAAGAATCAGATGGCCAAAAGAAGCTCAGGAAAGAAAGGAAGATGTGAAACAACATAAGTATAGACTGTTAGGATTTCTGAGGAAACCAAAGAAAAAGGATCACTTGAGCAATTCAAGATCCCATTTGGAGTTAGAGAAGCCTAATGATATGCAGATTCCTGATGGTGATTTTGAACCTCCAAGACAGAGTTTCTGGGAACCCATGGAGGCAGCCAAAGAAGCCAAAGCTCAAATCTTTGAAATGTGGAAGATGACAGAAGGCTTTCAAGAAGTTGAGGTGATCAGTGGAAACTCTACCCTTGAAAAAATGTTTTCTCCTTCATATAGTGTTGATGGGGATAAGAAGAGAGAATCTGGATATCCTTTGGGTACAAGTAGCAAAGATGCATGGAAGAAGAAGCCTTTGAAGAAGAAGAAGAAGAAGTCTAAAGCTTCACAGTATAGCTGGTGTTTGTGGCCAAGCCAAGGTGCAGTTAGGGATTTCAGCAAGTTTAATGGCCATAGTGAAATGGATGATTATCCTGAAACTGATTGGAGTGAAAGAGAAATGGATTTGGAAAAGATAGATATGCATGCTTTCTCTAAGAGAAATTCTTGTCTTTTATATGATTCAAGTGATAATAATAATAGTAAAAGGTTGGATCCCTCTTTTGTCCAGAAAGCTGCAGTTAGACAGGTATTGCTTCTTTAGTTTAATGTTTAAGTTAGTATTATATTAGGTCTAGCTCATTATAAGAGTTTTTTTTTTTACTTAATGTTTACCTAATACATACGTAGTATGTTTTAGACTCAAACTTGTAAATATCTGATATAAGGCGTTATACTTCACTTCATTTGTCCAGATCGGGCCATCTGATCAAACATTGATGATTTGATGTCATACTAAATTGGGTCTAATTGCACATAAAATATTCTCAAGAAATTAGGTTTACCTCACACTAATGTATCAAATTTTAATTTGGTGTTTTAGAGGCATTACTAAATAATTTTTTAAGAATATAAAAGATAAATTTGTTGGTTCATATTATCCTGCTAGTGCATGTGTAAACTGCTGTAATTTTTATGTTTTCATGCGTTTAGTATATTCATTACCATCTTATCCTATGATTGAAAATTGAAATGCAGGATATGTTTCAAGGATTCCAACAGGACAGGTTAGTTGCTATGAAAGATGCCAGAATTGAGAGAGAATCATTGAAGATTTTGAAGGAAGCTCATCAGACCAGTCCAACTTCAGTTCTTGAACCTCCTTTTCAGGGTCCTAGGACTGAATGTTTTGACAGACTTATGCCAGATTCCCACAGTAAGTGTTTGCACCTTTCTTGTTGATTTTTTGCCTCTTTTCCTATACCAATTTACCTTTGGTCTCACCTCCCAAAAAAGTCTTATACTATTATTGGCACCACTAGCTAAACTGATATTTTTTAAAACTTTCTGGTAACTGTTAGAATTTCCGTTGCTGAAAAGGTCTTGACTAAATAATGTAATTGTTTGATATAAGCCTGTCGTTTTATATAGCTCTATTTGGCATACATTACAGTCTTACAGATTGTGATTATTAGATAAAGTTGTTTAAGTATTCTTAATAGGAAAATAAATATAACTAAATTAGCATAATTTTATAATTACTTTGAAAATTGGTATTTGAAACCATGATAGTTATAATGAATTTAGAAATACACACTATTAAAAAAAGAATATTTGGAATAAGTAACAATATTATTGGCCTTACATTGGGAAGAAACAATGTTGAGGAAGAGTTTTGTTTTGATGTGTGAAACATTGACCTGATCTAAATTGTTGGTTTGCTACCAATGACTACTTGTGCCAGGTTTGGAACCTCAACTTCAGCTGCACGAAACAATTTCGTGGGATTCATATTCAGGTGAACCCGAAATAGATGTGTCGAGCAACGAAGATACCAACAAAGAAACCATTTTGTGGGATACATACTCAGATGAACCCGAAATAGATGTGTCTAGCGATGAAGATACCAAGAAAGAATCTGTTTCTGATTTTTCTCAACATCATCTCGGAGCGTTCATTGAAGAAGAAAGTAGTAGTAGAAGTAGGGACTACTCCTACCTTGTTGATGTTTTAGATGAGTCCCCTACCATCCTCAAACTGCAGGGTATAGATTCTTTGGAATGCCCTATAAGCTCATTGGTGTTTGAGAGATTAGAGAACAAATATGGGAAGCATAATAACTCTTGGCCAAAGTGGGGAAGGCGGCTTTTGTTTGACCGTATAAATGCAAGTATGTCTGAGCTTCTGCATTCTTATTACATTGAGAATATCTTCTACCTTGAAGCAAAATCCCTTAAGGCAAGATATGATGATGGTCTTACATTGGGAAGGAACAATGTCGAGGAACAACTTTGGAGGCTGCTACTAGTTGATGAAGGGGAGGAAAAGGGAATGTGCTATAAGGACTTGCCTCAGAAGGCTGTTCTTGGAACAAAGTGGTTGAAATTGGAGAGTGAAATCAGTATTGTCTGTCAAGAAATAGCGGATTGCATGTTTGAGGAATTAACATCAGAATTAGTTCTTATGAAACACTTTTAGTGCAACACTACAAAAAATTAAATCTTACTGCAACATCAAACTATTTTCAGTGCAAAATCAGAAATCCAATGGCTGAAATTCATTCTCATTTCTCACATTAGATGCATTTCTCACTTGAACCAAAATCTGTAATATATAATATAAATTAGTTTCTTTTATAAATTAACATATATATATATATATATATATAATACTGATTCATAAATGTATATGAGGACCGGGGAGTCATTATTAATTATAAAGTAATTTAACAAAAATAATCAAAGTTTCATCCACTATTTCTTAATGGGTTGACCACTTTTGATTTATATTAGAAGTACAATTGGGTGGAGACTTGAAGTTAGAATTGTATTTTGTTTATTTCCCCGTAAGGTTTAGTTTTTTTTTTTTTGAGTTGCCGTAAGGTTTAGTTATTGGGCATGTAAATTGCAATTTGCAAATGTTGAGCACAAATATTTAAAATTTTAAAGATTGCTTCATACTTGAGCTCAAGTTCGAACACGAACTTTCAAACTAATCGAACTTGTAACTTCTGAACGAACCAAAATTATCTAGCCGAACCGAGCCGAGTCGAGCCGAATCGAGCCGAATCAATATTTGCGAGCCGAGCTCGAGCCCGGATTTTTTAAACTCGTTCGAGCCGAGCTCGAGCTCGAGCCAATACAATATAATTCGAGCTCGAGCTCGGGCCTACATAAACTCGGGCTCGGCTTGGCTCGTTTGCACCCCTATTGTATAGTTATAGAATGAGCCGTCCTTAAGTTTTCTAACTTTGGTTGTTACCAACCTTTATTGAATGTTGATGGAACATGCTAGGTATATCTTATTTCACCATTCATTAAAAAAATGGGTTGAACTCGTGAAGCTATGGCATATCATATAATTCATCAACATTTAACTTCTTGTAAAATTAATCAAAAGTCCATTGCTGAGCAAATTAATAAAAGTCCATTGCTGAGCATATCATATAATTCAACAACATTTAACTTCTTGTTCTGTTTTAAGTTGGTCTAAATTGAAGACGATGAATGATTTGAATTCTTCAACTCTACGATTAATAAAACTCTAATGTTATTTTCATTTTCTATTATACTCCCTTCATTAAACTATAAAACTATTACAAACCATATTTCTTCCTATTATAATGTCACTCGAGAATAAAAAAATTAGCAAATTAAAATGATAAACACATCAAGTGCTAATAAAAAAAAACTTCTAAATTTATTTCAATTTATTATTCTTTAAGTTTAAGGCAAAAGGGGCAAATATAAAAATAGATATTCATCATTTTTGGGTTTTTAAGTGCTTTGATCTATTTAAGTTTAGTTTTATTAAAAAAAAATGATTTATTCGGCTCAAATTACTGTACATAATAAATTTTAACCATTTTTCCTATAATCTTTTATTTACTTCATTAATAATATAAAATTTGAACTAAATTCATCCATAAATCAAAAGAATCAATTTCAGTCACTTCTGTCAAAATTTCATCAATTTCAAAATTAGGTGAAGTAGCCAATTTCGGTGTTACTTAACTGATTCCAAATATCAAAAATACAAGTATACTTAATTTGGTTATTATGTGGACTTCCAATTGTGTACATGCAAACGAGATAGACTTACCAAAGAATTTCAGATGATTCCCAATGTAGCAATTGGCTAAGATTCATTTACCTTTTTTTTACTCAACCACAACCTCAAGTTTCCAATTTATTCCCACATTCTTAAACTCCGATCCAAGTCAAATCGAGAAGAGTTTTATGGGGCTGAGGGTGTATCAATGTCATCGTCATCATCATCACCACCACCATCATCATCATCATCATCCATATCATCACCATCATCATTGTTTTTGTTGTTGTTATTGTTATGGTTGTTGTCGTTGGTGTTATTAATATTATTATTATTATTATTATTATTATCATCGATGAATCAAATCACCTTATAAAAGTAAAAAGAATGAGATAGACTTACGAAAGAGTTTCAGATGATTTCTGAATAATATCTTTATAATATGTAACTGACTCAAAAATATAAATATACTTGAATTTGGTTACTGTTGTGGACTTCCAATTCAATACATACAAACGAGATAGACTTATGAGCATCCTCTATTGATCAGATTTTATTCCTGAAAAGATCTCTATAATGAACATAGTGATAGAAAGAGTATCATATAGTGCCTTGACTTCAAATGATTTTTTTAAAATCATGTTCATACTATCACAGTTTTGGGTGAGAGAGAATCAAAGTTGATTTATCATTAAATGACGAAATGATATGGTTTTTACAGAAAAATTATTTGTTCACGAGTCAATGAACCATGAATGAAGCACTAGAGTAGATTATCAACTCAAATAAGAAGCTAAATGAAAATAAACTTGCGAATCAAAAGTTCACACTATTCATATATAATTGCATAATAGGAGTTCTTGCAATCGAAAAGATATACTCTGTATGAAAAAAAACTCAAAGAACTAACAATGTAATGGCGGAAAGTTCATCAAAATGGAATTATGTAACCAAGTACTGAAAATGTATAAGGCGATGAAACAAAATTGTTATTAGGTGAATCATTACACATTTGTGGAGGATGTGAGATAGTTTTCTCTCTTATATATAATGTTTTTAGGTATAAGATAAGTCGGATGAGAATTGAGCGGAACAAGTTTCTCTCTCATTTGTAGTGTTTTTAAGTATAAGATAAGTCGACTAACGATTGAACTGTCAAAATATCTCTCTCATATGTAGTGCTTTTAGGTATAAGAAGATAAATCAGCTAACAATTGAGCGGAATAATTTTCTCTCTCATAATTAGTTCTTTTAAGTATAAGATAAGTTGGCTAACACTTGAGCGGGATAACTTTGTATCTAATTTGTAATGCTTTTCACTAAGATAGTAAGATAAGTCAGCTAACAATCGAACGGGAAAATTTGTTCTTTCATATGTGTTGCTTTTAGATATAAGAATGATTAAGCCATAAGTCGTCTAACAATTGAAAGAGATATTTCCCTCTCTCTCAATAAGCAATGATTTTAACTACAACATAATCCAACTAACAATTGAGAGAGAGGATTTTTTGTATCATATATAGTGCTTTTGGGTATAAGACAAGCCGACTAACAATTGAGCGGGAGAATTTTCTATCTCATATGTACTACTTTTAGTTATTAGAAGATAAACTTGCTAACAATTGAGCGAAAGAACTTCATCTGTCATATATAGTTCTTTTAGGTATAAAATAATCCAGCTAACAATTGAACGAGATAATTTCTCTCTCTCATATGTAAGAGTTTTAGATATAAAAAAAGATAACCATACTAAGAATTGAGCGAGTTCAGAAGATTTTTTTCTTTCATATGTAGTGCTTTTAGGTATTAGAAGATAAGATTGCTAACAATTGAGAAATAGAATTGAGCGGGAGAATTTTATTGCTCATATATATGTAGTGTTTTTAGGCATTACATAGTAGAAGATAAGCTTGCTAACAATTGAGCGGAATAACTTTCTCCCTCATATGTAGTTCTAAGTATAAGATAAGAAGACTAAACAATTGAGCGGGATAATTTTCTCTCTCATATGTAGTATTTTTAGGCATAAGAAGCTAAGCAGATAAACTTGCTAGCAATTGAGTGAGGGAACTTTTACTCTTACGGGTAGTTCTTAAGTACTCCGTATATAAGATGATCCAACTAAGTGTTGAGCGTGAAAATTTACCCTTCCATATGTAGTGCTTTTAGGTATAACATAAGTCGACTAATAATTGAACGAGGAAACTTTCTCTCTTATATGTAGTCTGTTTAGATATGACAATATAAGCTTGCTTGCTAATAATTAAGCGAAAATTTTCTCTCTCTCATATATAGTGCATTTAGTTATAAGAAGATAAAGTTGCTAACAATTGAGCGGGGAAATCATCATATATGCAGTTCTTTGTAGTATAAGATAAGTCGCCTAACAATTAAAGAGCATATTTGTTTCTCTCATACATAGTGTTTTTAGGTATAAGTTAAGATAACCCGGCTAACAATTGAGTGAAAGTTTTTTTTTCCTCATATGTAGTTGTTTTTTATATAACAAGATAAGTCAACTAAGAATTGAGCAGAGTAATTTTCTCTCACATATGTTAGCACGAATTTACTAATGAATGGAAAGTTATTATTTAACTAATATTCGTTGATTTTAATATTTATTGTATTCACTTAAACTTTACGTCACTCACTTATTGCACTCACTTTTTTAGAATATTATTTAATTTTAAAATTAATCTAATCATGGAAATGAATAAGTAGCAAATTCTAATGAGTAGTGTCAATTAATTTTTCCTAATATACTCTTCATTGAATATATATTTTATGGTATTAGCTGATTCAATTACTATTTTTTCCGAAAATGTAGAATCCTAAAAAGTTGTTTTTATTTTAATATTTAATTAGATCATGAGTAAAAAATATATGCACCAACTGCTCTATCCCGTGCGTATGAACGGGTACTATACTAGTTCATTAAAAAAATGGATTGAACTCGTGAAGCTATGGCATATCATATAATTCATCAACATTTAACTTCTTGTAAAATTAATCAAAAGTCCATTGCTCAGCAAATTAATAACAATCGTACTTCGCTAAGAAATTTGACGGCCAAATTACCAAATTGGTAAAAAAAAAAGAAAAAGAGGCCTGTTGGACAGATTGATAAAAAAACCAATTGAGGCAAATTGGTAAAAAAAGATGACCTGGTGACAAATTGGTCATTTTTTTAGAGTGATAAACTCTTGATCTTCAACTCTAAAATTTCCGACATTCCATTAGTTTTTTTAACTAACCGCTTTCATTAGCGTTATGAAATACAATGTAAATAACATAAAATCTGCAATTAGCTTTTCAAACGCAAAATGACTGTTAAAAACTGAATTTAAAAGTTTATATATTTAAATAAATTTATTTCTTTTTATTTTTAATAAGTCTTGGAAAAAGTTTTAAAAAATATGTTTACGTTTATTTTAACTAATTAATAACACTATCATATTTAAGATATGTATATTGATG